GCACCAAGACCACGATGCAATCATTGCGCCGGAGATACTAAGTACACCCTCGAACTCGACCTTACGTACTACAGTCGCCGGCTTGCAGGAGAGGGCTGGCTCCACTATACCTAGGAAAACCTTACCTATCGATAACACTGGTTCGTGGTCGTGGTATTCCATGCTGAAAGCCGCCAGACGATTTGATCGGGGCTGCGAGGCAGCGTGCCGCGATGGCTGGGGGGGGGGGGGGGGGGGGGGGGAGGGGGGCAGGCCACCACATGTTCGTGTAATGTCGGTTTAGACGCTTGTGCGACCTCCATCCGAAGCTCCCCTTGCTCGGTTTGCTAAAAGGTGGTGGGTAAAGGCTGATCCTTGGTGGCGAGGTGTATGTACTGGACTATGTGTATACAGTGCCGTGCAGATATCCACAGGAGATTGATGCAAGATGTTCCGGTCGGGGGAAATGGGTTTTTTTCCGACGACGACGGTGGAGGGAGGGATTGCTCGGGATGGAGACCGTTGAATGGAGTTTTTTTTCGGAAGCAGTACTGACTGAGTACTTTCAACGACGGAGGATGAGTAGATCAAAGTGGAGAGTTGATAGGTTGGGTCTTTTCCACCCCTGTCGGTGGTGCGAAAGTGTACTATGGAGCCCAGTCGGGGTGCTTTAGTGCAGTGACCGTTGATGTTGACGTTGACCCATCCAGCCTGCCTAGTAGATCCGGAATTGAGATCCTGTGCGAAGGGGAAAAAAAAGACAAAATTTGATCACCTTGCATAAAGGCTACGGGTGGCTACTGTACTTCAGTACAATGTTTCTGCCTGGACTTGGTCTTTTGTGACTAGTTCACTGGAGTCATAGGTGCAGCAGCATGGCGACGACCCCGAATGTAGCCGGGCATTTGTAGACGATTACAGATACAATCACATTCATTTTTACCAGAATCTTGTCTGAGAGGATGATAATCAATACGAGCAGCGCAGACCTCAACTACGGCCCAGATCGTACCTTCTAGAAGGAGTTTATTTCCCTCGGCCCCTCCATCAAAGACATTGGCTCCAACTCGACTCCGAGGTCCTCAGACTCCGGACCCAGAAAAGGGGGGGGGGGGGGGAGGGATGGAGGCACAGATTATTTATTTATTAATATCGTTCCGGTTGATATAGGGCTGGCAAAGACATGCCAGCCCGACAAAACAACACCATTGGCCAACATGGCCAGAATCTGTAGGAGCCAATAATTCAGTCAGTTAATGAGGGCGCGCGTTAATAACTTAAAAAGAGTGAGAGAAGACAAGACAAAAATAAGTCAGAAGAAAAGCCATGGCACGATGACGGCGGCGGAGAGCAGAAAGGCCCCAGTTCCCCAAAAACGTCAAGGCTCCGGCACTATTGGATTTTTGACAGGGCAGCAGCACAATATCGTGGGAGGAGCTTTGGGCTCTTTTCCCTCGGTTAGTCCGAACTTGGAATCGAAATAGTTCCCTCGCTAGTCTCCCCCATAATCCAGGGGAGAAGAGACATTTGTGGGCTTGGCGCCGATACTAATTCTATATCGGAATCGGAATATTGGGGGTTGATATGGGATAGTTGAGCTTGGATGTGGTGGTGGTAGTGGTCGTGGTGGATGGACACGGGAAAGGGGGGAAGTTTTCATGGAACCCATAGTATGGATCGTCTTGATGGAGATGATAGAGGATAGACTAAGGACTAATAAGTGGTCTTTCCCAGGGGAGGATAACGGTGATATTGCCCCAGTGGGAATATCCTCAGTGCTTCGATTGCATGTTGTGTGCGATGATGGATCAGATGGAGGATAGATAGAGATCACTTATAAGTGTTCCCTCCCAAGTCAATGTGGTCCAGACCGCGGAAGATCACGTGCGGCGATCCACGCATCGAAGCGCCTCTTTTTCCCTTTCGGCGGTTCGTTCGCTACTCCGCGCCCAACCAGCTGCCTCGCTGCTTGCTGCTGCTGCTGCTGCTGCTCCTCCTCCTCCTCTCACTTTCAACTGACCGGCTTCTTCCTCCTTCTCTTCTTCTTCTGCTTCCTTTTTATTATTTCTTCAATACAATAGAGAGATTCCTCTTCCCCCTCTCTACCATCCTCATTTTCTTCCACCTTCATTACCTCCACCGTGGCCGTCATCACATTTCCGATCTCCTCCCTCATCCTTCCCTGTTCCCCCCCAGCTTCCCCGCTCTGGCTGCATGCCTGTGATTATTAGCCTTGTTGGCCTCAGGAACTCCACTCCACTCCTCGCAATCACGGCCATCATCCACCACTCGCCGGATTCCTCTTTCGCCTTGAAGATTTGAATTCGACTGTCGTCAAAGGCTGTCTCCTGTCTATCCCCCACATCTCATCCCAGCCATCTCCAACCACCCCCGCCGTATCTGACACGAGCCGCTTTCCGACCCGGAACCTCGAATCCTGAAACTCATCACCGGCGCTATTGAGAGTTCCTCCATTGTTCGCCCAGAATCCATCCAAGACAGTCTGATACCTTCCGATCGTGCTCCCTCCATCCTAAATTCGCCCGTGCTACACCTGGCGCCGTCTCATTCACCCCCCCAAACCGGTCCGACGTCCGTCCCCCCCCTCTTCGTGTTGGGCGTCGTTGCCGGTCATTGATCCTCATCCACCATGTCTCTCCACACCTCCTACCACGCCGACTCCGACGCAGACGACGAGTACGAACGCAGTGTCATCACATCCCCTCACCTAGCCACTGACTCGGAAGCCTCCCCCTCCGAGTCCGAGTTTCCCTCCGCCGAACATACCCCGACCACCCTGGCCAATTTCGACGATAACCCTCGCTCGCCTAAGACAATCATTACAGAATGGACGGCCGAAGAGTGCGCACATTTCGTTGCCGCTTTGGGTCTGCGTCAGTACTGCGCGGCTTTTCTAGGTGTGTCTCTTCGATGATATTTTCTCGGCGCGGCCAAGGTTCTTCATCCGTGCTGACTCTTGGGTTCTACAGAGAACGAAATCGTTGGCGAAGCGCTTATCGCACTCAAACATGACGAATTGAAAGAGATGGGTATCGCTAGTGTGGGGCACCGCTTGACCATCCTCAAGAGTGTGTACGAGACCAAGGTCAAGCAAGACATTCCGCTGGACGCCGATCATTACATTCCACTCTGTACGTGTATCCCTCGACTGGCTACTGGAATAGTCCGCTGACGTTCGATTGCATAGCTGCCGACCAAAGTATGAACGAAGGTGCCACTCAAGACGATGTCGCTCGTTTGATTCAGTCCATCCGATTGCGAGACGAACGCATAGTCACCGTGGAGGCAGAGTTGCGGCGCATGGCAGACGACTATCGTCGGTTGCGAGAGGAACTCCTACCCGTCTTCAAGATGGCCAAGGATCGATCGCAACCGCTGCCACCCCCATCGGCGGTCCCCGCGCCTGGCACAGAAACATATCACGAGCCCCCGAATCTGACTTCGCCCTCTGGAATCACGCTCCTGGATCGCTCGGGGTCGATTCTCTCGAGAACATTCTCCAAGAGAGGACACACCGGCGGGACTACCCCCAAAACCAGCTCACCCACTTATATCCCACCTTCCATCCACGAAGGACGCATGTATGGGGACGGCGGTGGGTTGGATCCGTCCACGGCAAACTCGTCCCACATGGCGATGATGAACGGAAAGGCCCAGTTATCGCCAGGAATCCCGTCGCCAACCTCCCCAGGCAACCTTCACACGCAGACTTTGGCCTCACGGGCCTACTCACAGCCTAGTTCGGCCAGCATCAACCACGCCTCTCACAACCACCACGACGACACGCCTCCGACCCAATCCCGCTCCGACCGATTAAATCCTACCCCAACGCAAGCCACGCGCCCTGACATCCCGACACGGTCAGACTCTCGAGCGACTGGGGACCCCCCGAGTGTGGAAATCTTCAAGTCTTTCCGAGTATCGTTGGACGACCCCTGCCATAAAGTCCTCCCCGCCGCTTTGAAGAAGTACAACATCAACGCGGACTGGAAGCAATACGCACTGTATATTGTCTATGGTGACCAGGAACGATGTCTCGGGCTAGAGGAGAGACCGTTGATCTTGTTCAAGCAACTTCAGAACGAAGGACGGAAGCCGATGTTCATGCTGCGGAAACAAGTCCATCCACCGGAGAACAACATGTATCCCACCGGTAGCGGCTCAGCGCCGAATAGTGCTGGTTTCGAAGGGCGACAAGCTCAAATCAATCTACCTGGCGGAGTTTTGTGAGCCTTTCTCGATGATGAAAGTGTTCTGCTTTACTTTCTTTCTTGAGATACCCCAGGCACCTCTGGTGCCCCACTACCTTTCCACCCCCCTTTCATCCTTCTCCACCCCGCCTAGTTAGCTTCCACATACCTTGACATTCCTCCTTCTCACGAGTCCTTATCTCTTTGGCGTGCATACGTGTCTCACAATATGGCGTTGGGCTTGGCTTCAGGGTAACGCGGAACCGGAAAAGCAAAGCACATTGACACAGCGTGGTGATTTCAGGGTCCATACCTATTCTCATTCTTGTTCATATACTTTACATCTATATTTACCCTAATCCGTGTCTCAATCTGAGTATGTCCAAGCCTACTAGCAACATATAAAAATGTTACAGCTTGCTCGTAACCCGTGCTGCTAGAGTCTTGTCTGGACTCTACACCGAGTAAGTACTGAGTGTCGTTTCTGCTTTTACTCCCGAAGCCGAGGCTCTCCCACGCATATACTGCAACCCACCCAACACCGGTAGAGCATCATGAACGCCTCCCCGCGGGAAGCCTACTACCCGCACCCAAAACCAGATCAAGGGACAAGATCTTATGGTGATTCATATCCAGCACCAGCTGTTGCATCCCTCGCCCGTCGTGCCGTTCTCTCATCGTAAGGAAGAAAAGTGACAAGATGGTGCCCCACGCACGCATCAATGGCCTTTTGCGCGCGCTCGTGGTCGCCGAGGAATTCTCCACGCCAAGTTTCTGCCTCGGCCGCAGACAATGGCGGATGTCCAATGTGTTCCATTACAGATCACACTAGCTCTGGCGGTAAGCGCCGATCCAGCTGGGCTGCCTCTCTCGCGGCCGAGGCCCACCAGTCATGCTGTTGCGGAGGCACATTCCGTGTTGAGCAAATGCGGTAGTGAGGGTCAACGAGACGAAGCTTGACCAGGGTCAAATTCCCCGGCCGACTGGGGTCCACCAGGCCAAAGGGCTCTTGCTTGGTGCGATAAGTAGAAAAGGACTGCCCGGGCTCCGGTGATCGAACCAGGCTTGGCGGGTGCGCTTGAGTCTGGCCAGTATGTGCACTTCCTTGGGGACGTCCCAATGCTCCGGAGGGAGTATGGTATCCAGTAGATTGTCCGGCTCGTGGGGCAGGGGATCCGCCTGCTTCCATTTCGGTGGCTCGGGCCCCTGCACGTACTCTCGGACCGCGGTACAAAGCTCGTGCCACTCCTTGTACGTCTGGCATTGCATTTGCCAGCGGGGATACGATGCCAACCGATTGAATAATGGGTGCTCGTCGTGATGGTTATGGATGCGGCATCCATATGTCAGGATGCGTGGCGGATGACGGCCATGGGTGTTGCCGTAAAATAGGACTTTGTTCCAAGAAGGAATGGAACGCGCGATCAGGTGCTCAAGGTGCTTGTACAGCTGACGGTAGTCAGCGGGATGCAGGTTATTGACGTAGGAAGTGATTCGGATGTCTATGGGGTTCGTGGGCGCTGTGGCCGTATCCTTGAACCGTACTTCATAGGGAAGCCATTGAAAGCGGTTCGACCAGCAGCTCTCCTTCCCACCGAGCCCGGGCCTGCGATGTAAATCCTCATAAGGAGTTATCGGACGTCGGAGGCCATCTAGGGGATGAGGAGGTGGGGGAGCCGGCATGTCCCCGAGAGAACCCCCCTCCGAGCTCAACAGATCGCCCAAGGCCACCTGCCCGCCGTGAACGAGAACCCTGGAGTGGCCATAGACGAGCGGATACAGGCACGAATCCACTAGGGGGCAATCTGGATGTCCCAGCTGTGAGCGCAATCGGGCTACCTCGGCTTGGAACCCTTCTTTTAGCTCGTCTTTCCAAGAAAATTGGTTGGACGCTATTGACACATCGGATTGACACACGACCGAGGAGCTGTCAAAAGTCAACAGACGTCCTGTTCTCCGCCACTCCCCGGCCTTATCGCGCAGTTCGGCCAGGCACCAATCCCATGCGGCAGCACTGATGAGGAAGCCCTCAGGTCCTTCCGTGGCGTCCCGGTGCCAATTGCGTGAGTCGGGGTTCGTCAAAGTCCAATATAGCCCGATCCCACTCTGGCTGCTCCGTAATTCGTTGCATGAGTCGCAGCATGGCCATCTCGCATTTGGTTAGTCGAAGGGAGTGGCGATAGTCCACGAGCCCATGGGCGAAGCGGGCCTCTGGCGGGAGCTGGTAGTCCAAGGGGATGGAGCCAAATCCAGGCACCTGGAGCGGACCTTCACCTGTATTGGCAAGCGTGGTCATTTTGGTCGATGGTCTCTGGCTCAAGGAATGAGCTCGTGGCGGTGGGTTTAAATAGTATATAAGTGAACTGTTTTGCTGTAATTCCTATTTGCTTATCCAATTAAGATACCGCCGCTTTTATAAGAGCAGTATATAAATAATTTGTATATATTCTAGAATACTTACGGACTGCTTATAAAACATGTATTAGAAAATTTTAGTTGCTTTTAGATTATTCTGGTTTACTTAATCAGTAATTTTAAGCAGCTTCTATTTACTTACTATAGTAATTTATATAACTAGAACAGGCTCTTTAAACAATATACGATTAATATTTATCGAAATCTAAGATACTAATATAAACCTATAAAATTTAAAAATATTATTAAAATAAAAGCTGTTAATTTCTTTTAGTTTTTCCGATTTAAAATATTTTTAATACCGATTATCTTTTTATTATAAATAGATAGATTAATAATAAAAGAATAGTAATATATAATCTAAAATATTTTTCTTTTATTTCGGATATAAATAGATTCTATTTTATTTAAGTTTATTAATTATTAATCTATTTTCTTATATATTTTTTATTATATTTTTTTATATTTTATTCTTTATTTAATCTTTCGATCTTATTTATATTTATTAATAATAACCGTTTATACCTCTGCTTCTAGAACTAATTAAGATAAGAAAAAAAAAGATTTATTATAAATTTTATTAAAAGTAAAGCTATAATACGGATATTTATTAAGTTAAAAATATCTAAAAATTAGAAGATAGAACTTCTAAAGAAATAAAAAATAATTATAAAATAAAAATATATTATTATAAAAAATAAATTATTAATTTTGAATTTTAGAACATCGAGTCTTCTTATATTCTTATAAATTTTTAAAAAAAGAAAAAAGCTTATCCGAGAACTATAAGATTAGAATTAAATATTAAATACTAAGTTTAAAAGAGCTTAAAGAATTTATCTACTGGTATATTAATTTAATTAAAAATAAACTTAATTTTAACAGATATCTGACTATAAACTCGATCTTAGTCTAGGCTTAAAAATTTATTCCGGGATTTTATCTTAAGACTAAAAAAAAGATTTTTTATTATAATAGATAGAATCTATACAGTATAAATATACTTTATACTAGAAAAAAATATAAAAAAGTTATATAACTAACTTTTAAAAGTAGATTAAGTATAATTTAGTTGCAGAAAAATATATTAAAAATATAAAAAAATCTAAATATAATTTTAAGCTAAAAAGTTTTAAGCATACTATAATTGCTTTCTAAACTATTAATAATCTATTTTTTATAACTAGAAGATACCGTGTTTAGTTTTATTTTATAATTTTATAGAATCTGTGTATAGGATTTAGAGTATTCTTTTTAATTCTAATATTTAAAAATAAAACCGGTAGGAGTCTTTATTATAAGATAAATCTAAGTATAGTATTATTAAATTAGCTGCTGATAATAATAGAATATTAAACTTATTTTATTCCGCGATATAGAGGCCCCTTAAAAAATCAGATAATATTTAGATTAATAATTTATTAAGAATAATAAAGACTCTAAGAATATTATATAAATAATACGCACGAGCATTCTTATAAAAATATAAATATAAATTAATATTAATAAATTTAATACTACTATTTGAAACTGTAATAAACTGATTTATTCTAGAATATTATATTTTTTAGATATAATTTTTATTAATAATAATTTTTTTGGATTCTTAAGTACAGTAGAAGTTTTTAAACAGAAGATTCTAAAGAAAAAAAATAAACTAATTTTTTAACAAAATAATAAGACTAAAAATTAATATATTATAAAAAATATTTTAACAACTAAAGTCAGCAAAAATCTATTTATAAAAAAAAATATTAAAAAGATTTAAGAAAATATCTTACTAATATTAGTTATTTTATTAGTATTATAATTTATACTATATATTATAAGTTAAAAAAAACTATTTAAGATAGATTATTATAATTTTTAATTATATTTTGTTTTTTAAGTCTAGCTAATATTTCTTATAGCTAAATATTCTTTAATATTTATAGCTTAGATTTTTATATATAAATTAAAATTTATTTACAGCAATAACTATTTTAGGAATTATTTTAATATTAATATTATTAATTTTTTAAAAAATAGATTTTTAGATTATATTTATATAGACTATTTTCAGGGTTTTAAATAATTTTATAAAAATAGGCTTATTTGTTGATTATTTATAAAAAAAAAACAAAAAATTAATAAAAATCTAAATTTTACTAAAATTAGTATAAAAATCGAAGATATACAGTCAGCGGGCGAAATTAAAAAACTATAATATAAATATAATATTTAAAAAAAAAGATCTATTCAAAAGTATTCTAGTAATATTAAAGTAATTAAGTTTGGAATTAATATAATTAAAAGATTTTAACTAGAGATTATAAACACTCTAATTATATTAAGCAGACAGCAGAGAAATAAGTATTATATAAGCTTATACTAAAATTAAATTATTTAATAATAGTAATCTTTTTTAATTAGAATTTTTTATTTAACGAAAAAGCTAGTATTATTTATAATATTTATATATATTATTTTTGTAAGCTTGATATAGTTTATTTTTTAGATAAAAAACTATAAAAAGAAAAATACCAGATATCTATTTATAATAAATCTATAAAATAATAAGCTGCTTTTTAATACTTAAATAAATTTTTTACTAATAAACTATAGTATAAAAAAATATAATTAAAATTTATATTTCTATAAGTATTATTTATAAAACTTTACTTTTAAATAAAACTTATTATTTTAATAAGTTAAGTATTTATTAGGAACTACTTGACGCAGTAGACATGCTGGTTAGGCAAGGCAAGCAAGATAGTTAAAAACAGTCTTCTATTAATTTTAAAACTAATTTTTAAGAAATCTTCTTTTTTAAAGAATCTCAGAACAATATATTATATAAAAAAAAAAGATAAGCAATATAATAATATAAATATCCGGATTAAAATCTTAATAAATCTATATTAATTTTAAAGCAGCTGCTATAATAATAAATATAGACTACTGTAGTAATAGATATTATATAATAATTATACTCCTCCGCCAAGCCGGGCTATCTAGTATAGTAGTATAACTATAAATAGCTTTATTATTTATTCTAATTAGATATTTCTGCTAATAATATTCTTTAAATAGTAGAATTTAGTATTATAATAATAAAAAAATTATCTGGTAGGCTGCATATTCTGTAAATAAAAGATTTTAAAATAATAAATAAAGTATATATTTTGTTAACAATCTAATCAGAATCCGATATAAAGTATATATATAAATAAAAAAAATTAATATATTTTTATTTATTTTTATATCTTAACTTTCTATTAAATTTTTTTTTTTATATTCTCTTTTCTTATTATTTTTGCTCTTATTTTTATTATTTATTTTATATTTTATCTGTTGATTTATTCTTTTAAAATTCTTATTTCTACTGTTTTTTAATATAATATTAATAACTACTTACTATTATTTAGCCGACATGCCTATTATATCTAAGATTTTTTTCTATCTGCATTATTTAAAAACTAGTATTAAAAATTTTAATATTATCAACGCAGAAAATTTTGTATCTAGCTGTATTTTTGATATTATAGTATTTATAGCATATAAACAGTATTCTAGTAGAAACCAAGTTTATTATTAAATATATTTTAATAGTTTTTTAGTAGATTTCTTAGGCTAATAAAAACTAGATTTTAATTAATATATTAAAAAATACTTTTAAATTCTTATAAATTCTAAACTAGAGCTAAAAGTTTTTTATCGACTATACTACCTCTAATCAGAATCTGAATTAAAATCTAATATTTTATATTTAGATTAATTATTTAATTCTAGCTTTAGTTATTAGTTTTAAAACAGCCGAGCTGGTCTACTGCCGTAAATATAAACTAACCGATATTAATAAATCTAAGATTATTATATATTTTTTTATTAATTTTTTGTTAATTTGTAGGCTAATTTACTAATCTAATTTAATTTTCTATTATTTTTTTTATTATGGGCTGTTATTTTATTGCGAATAATCCAACTATATTTCGCCTAATATTTAAAAATAATAGATTTTTTTTATAGACTAGAGCTAAGCAGATATTTTTTAAAAAGATTTACTGCGAGATATATACTATATATAATAACAAGATTTTTTTTTAGAATTTCTATATTTAGAAGATAAAATAATTTTAATTTTTTATTACTTATCTTTTATAAGAATAGTACTAATTAGCCGGATTAATCCGGTAGTTTTTTAATAAAAATCCGGCTTATTTACAGAAATTTTTTGTTTTAATTATATATTTTAGTATTAATCTTTGAATATATCTAATATAGTAATTCGATATAGATTTGATTGTTTTTTTTGTATTTAAAAATAAGATATTTTCTGTTGTTTTAATTTTTTTTTTATTTTTTATAGCTTCGAATAGCTTGCTGGATATTATTTATAGATTTTTCCGGGATTTATTTATTATATTTATTTAGCCAGTCTGTTTATTTAACTAAAAAATACTACTTATTATTAAAAATCTGCTTATTTTTAATATCTTCGATCTTAAACTCTTTTTTTTTTTTTAAATCTAAAAAATAGAGTTGGTTTTGTAAATCTATACTAGATTTCTATTATTTTAATAATAATATATAAAAGATATTATAGATTTAATTATAGCAGTTAGACAGAAAAATTTAATATATTTATTTTTTAATAGCTGCTAGAATCTTTAGGAATCTAATATATTAAGAAGCTAGCTTCTAATATAAAATCTTAATTTTTAAATTCTTAGTAAACAGCTTTACAAGATCTTTTTTCTTAAAAATTATTAGCTAATATTTTTTGTTATAATATTTCTTTATTGCTTTGTTAGCTTTTTGCTAATAATTTTATAGATTTTTTTATAATATAACTAGTTTATTAATTTGATTTTTAGCTGTAAAAATCTTTTTCTGAAAAGTACCGACCTTAGTATAAAAATAAAAGTTAAATAAATAGTCTAAGAAAGCCTCGAAAAAAGAATAACCAGTAGTTAAATTCGGAGTATTATTATAAATAAATTAAGTAGAAGATAGTAGAATAGACTAGTTCAGATAATTTTTATTAATAAAATATCAAAGATATTATTTAAAAGTCTGATTTATTCTTTTAGTTTGACTATTAGTCTAAAGTCGAAATACTATTAATAAATAAAATTTAATCTAAATATAATAAGCAACTCGGAACTAAAATTTGCTAATAAAAAAAAATTTTTATCTAAGATTATATTTTAAAATAATTTAAACTAGAGTTTAATCTTTCTATAAAAAAGTTCAGCAAGTTTTAGAGCAGTTATAATATATAAAATAAATAAAAATTAATATTATTTTATAAATCTATCTATAATAATAAGAATTAAATCTAAAATATTATTTTTTATTATAATAAAAAATAGATCTGTAATAAAATCTATAAATAGTTCGACGAAAAATTAGCTAAAAATCAGCAGTAATTTAAGCTTACTATATAGTTTATATCTAATAAATATAATATTTTAATATACAGAGCACTTTCTGATATAAATAACTATATTTTTATAGAGATTTATCTAATAAAATTTTCTTCTAAGAAGAGTTTTTATTTTTAATTATTTAAAATAGCCTGCTAGCTAATTATTATAATAAAGATTTAATAAATATTACCGAAGACTTTATTCTGTAGAAATATATAAGTAGTATTTGTATATAATAAGATTATTTTTATTAATTTTCTAATATTTAGACCTAGGATTATCTTTTAAAATAATAAGTTTTTAATAATATATTTTTATATCTCTGTTTTAGATTCTTTCGATTAAAGAATATAATTTCTTATTAATTTTAAAATAAAATAAATTTTTATTTTTATATACTCGAAACGCTGCCGATATACTAATATATTTATTATAAAACAAGCTTGCTCTAATAGTTTTAGAATATAATAAATTCTTATATTTATATACTCGGAATACTGCTAATATATTAATATATAAATTATAGAATATTTTTATTCTAACAGTCTAGTTAACTGCTTTTATATCGGTTTAATTATATTTAGATTTTAATAAACTTAATATATATTAGCGGGTATAAGATTTAGGACTTTTTTGTAAGAATATTTTATTATATTCTAGCTAGAACTTTTCCGAGACTAGCTGTAATCTTATAAAAGATTTATCAGCTATTTAATACTATATTAATTTTAAAATTTTTATATTAGACAGAATTTCTAAGTTTTTTTTTATTTTTAACAGCAGATCGATAGGATTATATCTATCGGACCGATATTAAATAATAAAATTATAATTATTAAAATATATATATTATTAAATCTAACAGCCGTTCAGCTTCGGCTGTTTTATAAAAATCTAAAGATTTTAATAATTTAAAAAAACTTTAACAGTATATAATAGCTTTTCAAGATATTAATACTAATACTTAAATAAATAAATAATAACGAAAAGCTCTTAGTCTAAAATTAAATAATAAGTTTTAATATTATTAAATTTTTTCGACCAGAATATAACAGAGTAGTATATTTTATAATTATCCGGCTGGAATAGTATTTCTGCTATATTCTATTAAGAAGTATTTATTTTTATTCGGATTTTTTATTAAAAGTTAAAGTATCTTAATAAAAACATAGTCTTAAAATTATAAAAAAGCTGTTAAAATATTATTATTTTTTTATTAGTTAATATTATTTTTTTAAACTTCTTTCCATTCTGGGTGCCTTTCAAAAGGAAGATTAGTAGTAATATAATTAGAAAATAATTCTTAATAAAATACTAATAAAAATTATAAAATTCTAAGAATACTTAGATCTTATAATATATAGTTAGTATCGGCTATATAAAAATATTAGATATTCGTCGGAAATCTATTAATATACTATATAAAGATATAATATATTCTAGAAATTTAATATAATCTTAATAAAAAGTATACTTTAATAGCTTAATATAAAAATCTGCTTTTTATAAGTATTCTAATACTTAATATAGATAAAGAGTATAAGAAGAGCGGTTTTTTTAAAAAAATAAGAATATTATCTAAATAAGCAACACAGAAAATGTCTAATATATTATAAAGAGCTAAATAGATATAGTTTTAAAATATAACCAAAGTATTAATTAATCTAAAAAATATAACTAAATATTCAAAATATTTATAACAGGTTTAAAAGACTGTTTTTTATTCGTTTTTCTATTTAATACAAATTTGGTAATATATATTCTAAATATTTAGCTTAAAGAAATATTTAGCTTCTATAATTCTATTTAGAATTTCTAAAATTAAGAATAAAAAATAGTAATTCTTAACTAAAATCTTATTAAGTTTTTTATAATCTATATATAATCGAAGGCCTCTATTCTTTTTTAATATAAAAAAAATAAAAATTTTTATAGGATTTTTAGAAGATTAAATTTATTCTAATTAAATATTTTTATTAATATAATAATAGAGAGATTGGAGCTTAACTTAAGATAAAAAATAAATAGATCTATATAATAGAATTTTATTATCTTTTAGATTAATAGTATAGTCCGAGGGTCTGTAAAAAGAAAATTATTAAAAACAACTAGAAAAAAATATATTTATAAAATCTTAAAGCTTAGAAGATAATATAATCTTATTAAATTTAATTTATAAATAATTTAAAAAGACTTTATCTTCTAGTAGCCAGATATTCTTTAAAAATTTAATAATAGTATAAATATAAGCAAGATTTCGGCAAGCTTTTATAAATTTATAAAAAAATAAGATTTTTAATATTTAGATTTTATACTACTACTGTTAATTTTATATAGATAAATAAATATATAGATCTTCTAAAATAGTTATTAAAAGTAAAATAAGACTTCTAGAAAGATCTGGATTATAATTAATAGCTATATAATATCTTATAAATAATTATATAATTTTTCTTAAATTAATAATAATAATAGAAATTTTTTATATACTATAGATATTTATAATAAAGTAATTAATTATAGTAATTAGTAGAGCTGTAAAACAGACTGTATTTAAATAAAATTACTAAATATATTAATAATTAATAAGATTAATCTCAGCGTACAAATCCAAGTCTATATAGATTTTAAGTATGTTTTTAAAGCAAATAAATATATTAAAGCAAGTAATAGTTTCTATTTTAAACCAGTTTATTAAAAATATAAAGGCTTTTTTAACTATTATTCTTTTTTTATTGGTTCTGGTTTAGTTTTATTTTTATTTCTATAAAAATATTAGTTAGCTAAATAATATTTACTATTATATTTATAACAGCAAAGAATTTTTTTTCTTTTATTTTTTCTATTTTGAGAGGATTTAGACGGAAAGAACTTATTATTAAACTATAAAAATCCAGATTTTCTAAAAGTCTTATTTAGATAGTATTCTCGGCTTTTTAAATCTTATTTTCTTTTTTAGTTTAATATATTCTAATAATAGATAATAATAGATACTATTTCCTTTCGGAAGTCCGGTAGTTTTAATATATATTTATAAATATATTAACTGAGTTCCGGTACCAGCTTTAAAAAAAAGATTAATATATATTTATTATTTTATTTAGATTCGAAATAATACTCTAAAATATCTAAATAAGAATAAAACTTTTTTAGATTCTAATTAGTTTACTGGTAGGTTTATTTAAACTGTTTTATAATATTAAACTATAAAGTAGCTGTATTTTAAATAAAAAAAAATTTATTAAATAAAATAATTCTATAATTTCTTAATATTTCAGTAGTCTTTCGGGGATTTTTTATTAATATATTGGTACTATCTCTGCCGATAAATAGAATTTAAATAGCTAATTACAGCTAGAATTTTTTAATTCTTTATTTAATACTTCCGAGGGGTTTTCTTAAAAATATATAATAGATTATAAATCTACTCTATTCTCTGTTATAAACTAAACTAAAGAAAGAAAATAGAAATTTTTTTAAGTTTAATTTCTTTTTTTTCTTATTTAGAAGATAAGATCGAGCTAGTATAGTATTATTATAATTCTATTAAAAATTTGATATCTCTATATTTTATTTATAATATTTAAATCTGTTTTTTTAATTATTTTAACTATTTTAATCGGTAAATAGTAGCTTGCACTTCTTAAATATCTGCTTGGATTAGATAATATAATTTAAAAACAGATAAAGTATCTTAAAATAATTCTAACAAAGATTTATTAAATAATATATTACTTTTTCTTAGATAACTAAAAGTAAAAAAAATTAGGAATTATTAGAAACTATTTAATACAGTAAATATACTGGTTAGACAAGGCAAGCAAGATAGTTAAAAATAGTCTTCTATTAATTTTAAGACTAATTCTTAAGAAATCTTCTTTTTTAAAGAATCTCAGAACAATATATTATATAAAAAAAAGAAGTAAGTAATATAATAATATAAACATCCGGATTAAAATCCCGACAAATCCGTATCGACCCCGAAGCAGCTGCCATAGTGGTAGATATGGGCTGCTGTAGCGGTAGGTATTGTATAACAGTATTGCTGGAAATACTATACTTATTATTAGAGTGGCTAACGGCCAGATTAGATCAGGTTAATTAGAATTTTTATATCTGACCGCCAGATTATAGCCAGATTAAGAAAATTTTTATATCTAACTATAATATAGCTAAAAAACAGGCGGTTAACTGTCTTAACTATTTTTAATATTAAGATTCTTCTGTTATATTTATTTAGATTCTAGTATAATTAAAATATATTTAGATTAAGCAGTTATTAATCTGACTATCTTAATTATTATTTAAAAATATACAGAAACAAGCTTTTTAAATTAGAAAATAATAATTAAAAAAAAATTAGTATCTTCTCTATCTTTATCTAAAAGAATTAATCAGAAAATCTTAATAATATTAATAAAATTTAGTTTTTTATAAAACTATTGTTTTTATAGTAAGAAATATATATAAATATATATAATTATAGCTCGGTTTAGACTATATATCTTAGTTATATTATATAATAACTAAAAAACTGTATATTTATTATTAGTTAGACTATTAAAAATAAATATACTGTTTTTATTTTATTATTCTTTTTTTTACTTTAGTTTAGATAGTTTATTATATTCTTATTTTCTATTTAAAAAAGCTGAATTATCTGTATTATAAATTAAATTTAAAAAAAAACCTGTTATTAAGTTACAGGCTGATAGATATAAATAACAGCAGATAAAATAATAAAATAGATAATAAACTAGTAATATTTTAATAATTTATTTTTTTATTTTTAACTAGCTATTTAATTAAATTATTTTTAGATTTATAAATAAGACATAGCTTAAAGAGCTATAAAAAGATTTAAAAATAAAAAGATTCTTAAATAGATTCAGGATTATATAATAAATAGTTAGAAGCAGCAGATTTAACAGATTAAATAAATTAAATAAATTAAATAAATTAAATAGATTAAATAGATTAAATAGATTAAA